TTTTTTTTCTCCTGGCCTGACATTGCAAGTGATGAAAAATATGATCTACTGAAAAAAGTTGAGGATGCATTGCCAGCAGCAGTGAATAAGAATTTTGTTCAAAAGAAAATCACTGATATTTTCAAACAATAACTTTAGTTCTTAAACTGAAAAACAAGCCTGATTCTGAATATATGCAGATCTGAGCTGAAAAAAATTTTTCAGGTCATTTTTTTGATAATCTCCTTACAACAAATTATCCGTTATAACAAACTTTTTCCCTGGTCCCCAAAAGTTTGTTGTAACGAGATTTTACTGTATTCGAATTTTTTCAATGATCCTTTCGTTAGCAAAAAATGAAAACCAAAGTGCATTAAGTATTTTTCCAAAAGAGCAGGGGTTCATTTAACTTTTTCCTCTTCAAAAACATCATCCAAGGCATAGTTTCTGTCTGTGATATTTTTCTTATTACCTCAAAAGTTCACAGAACTTATATTTTCTTTTTGGATTGTTGAAAAAATTGGAGGTTTGGTCTGCATTACAATTGATTCCGACGAAAAATTTTCAACCAGTTTCAACAAGCAATTCCAAAAAGTGGAAAAAATGAAAAATTAATTCGCAATTCGACAACAATTCAAGTCAAAATTTAAATTCCGTCGCATTATACTCTCAAAATATTTCAATCTCAGTATACAGTGCAAATAAGATGCGCATCTATCATTTGATGATTAATTTTTATTCAAATGTTGGCTGAAAAATCCAGGTGCACGTCATACATCAAAGGCGTGTGTTGGTATATTCAATAAGTAAATTCTGTGCAGTTATTTCTCTTGGCAAAAAAAAGTGTCTGATCATTCTGCACATTTAATCAAAGTATTATTCTTCACTTGCACCAAGAAAATTTTTTTTTTTTTTCGTAGGAATCATCATCACCTGGATGACGTGATCATATCGCTTCTGGTTCAGCCGATGTCCAAACAAGATGTTGTCCTTGATGGAAACATTGAGGAGCCAGGGACGTTGGGAGACGAATGCAATCGGACAATCCATTACCCGCTGGGTATTCGGTGCCAATTCATTCATCAACCCCAGCAACAGGCTGCTTTTTCCGGCTCCCACGTCGCCGACTATCATGGTCAATTTGCAGTCGGGGATCGTGAGTGAAATGTCCTTGAGCACGGGTTCGCTGAATGAGGCATTGCCGGAAAATGTCCAAGAAAACGAGACGTTTTCTAGTTTGATCTGCTTATTGGATGAGACGGGAGAAACAAAACAAAAACATGCCACGTTTATGAGCAGAAGTACGGTGGACAAACGATGAGATTGCTTACTTAACGAAACGGGATTTCAACCTATAAAGCATCATCATAGAAGAATACTTACGGAAATTAATATTCTTTTGGGAAAATTCCTCATTCCGAAATTGTAAATACACTAAATTTATAATTATACTAAAATGCAGGGAGTAATTGTCCGCAATTATTTTATGGAAGTACTGCTTACTGCAATGCGTGGACCCTAGGTCATAAACTTAAATCAGCAGTTCCAGACAAAAGTTTGTTAGCAAAATTTGATTTTCCCATAGAATTAAAGGGAGAACCAATTAAAATATTTCCAGCACCCAAAATACGTTTGAAAATTTAATTTAAAAAAATGCAAGACGAAGATCCAATCTGAATTAATACTTTAGCATCCTCTGTATACTGTATATGTTTACAATGTTTCAAAGGGTTTAGTGGAAATACAGTTGAAACTCTTCAACTCAAACTTCTATAGGGACCAGAAAAAAAATTGACTTTGAGGGGTTTTAATTTTTTTAGTTTTTGAGTAGAGGAAACACACATTTTTGTTGGGAGGAAAAGTGAAAAATTGTGGGAAATTGTAGATGAGGATATTCAGGGCCTAAACTTGCTTCTTGATGAGTTTACAGCTTGCTGAACTTGGAGGCAGGGGTTCATTTGTTCAATTAGTCTTCCACTTCATTTTCAGATGCATAGAATCAGATGTTCTATTGATGTCTATTTCATATTTCAAAGAAATAATAACCAAAAGGCCTCATAAAATTCAACATACAGAAGTTTGAAAGAAAAATACTTTGAGTTAGGGAGCTTCTTAATGCATTGTATCTAAGGGAATCCAGACAGGGACTTGGAAAAAATTTGAGTTAGGGAGGTATTTGACTTAGGAAGGTCCAACTTAGCAAGGTTGAACTGTATGACTAATGCAAAAAAAACCTTCAAAAAGCTACACATCCACAAAAACATGCAAATATGAGTAGAATAACTGCAACCAGAAAATAAAATGTTAAGTTCACAATGCTGTAAAGAACAAATTCAGCAGTTTAAAAGTGGAAACAATTTGGAAGAATATCTTTGAAAGTGTCTTTGTCCACAGCTTCTTACAGTTGGATGTCATTTGTTCAATTGATTCTGCTCAAACCATGAAACATCTATGGCACACCCTCATTCATACTCACTTGATGTGAGGCAAATTTTTGAAATTTTGTGTAAGCCTTTATTGGTATAAATCATAAATTTTCTGCTTGATTTTCCATGAGAACTGTAATTACATTATGCCCTACAGTTCAGTGTCACAATAAACTTGACATTTTTCCAGGAAACAAAAGTTTGTTGACCAAATTTTGGTTTGTCAACTGGGGGGTTTTTTTTAGAACAAAATTTTGCTAACCAAGGGCTTTGTCGACCAAGGGTCCACCATACATCAATTCGTTTTTCTTAAAACCCGGCTTACTCTTCATGATATGCAATTAAAAATACATAATAAAAGTAATTTCTATGTGATTATGTTCCCCAAAAATTACTAATATGCTCTAATATAAACACTTGGTAACTAATTGAAACCAGTCTCTGAAACCTTTGGCAAAGAACGAAATATTTCTCACTCTGTCGGTCGGTTGCTGCTGCTGGTCCTTGAAAAAATGAATGTCACCATCCGACACATTCGCCAAATCCGAATCGGAACACGCACCAGCTGCTTTTTCCTCATCCTCGTCATCGATAAACTTGAAATCCTCTCGCGTCACCTCGGGGCCGACGTAACTCGCGTCACTATTACTCGTCGTCGTCATGACGTGCATCATCGACACCGGATACGAGTGACTACTCTGTTTCATCGACTCGGAACTCGCACTGGACAACGAGAACCGTCTCCAAGTAGAATTCATGACGGTCTCCTCATCCTCTTCTTCCGCTCTTTCCTCCTCTTCCGCCACTTCCTGGATCACGTCTTCCGGAAACAGGAACACACTGGCTGCACTGCAACGATCACGCGAAGAATCCTGGCTGATTTGACGAGCCTGGAAGGGACTTGACGGAGTTTGCGGATGACAGGATTTCCTCACGGGCGTGGAGCACACTTGCGGAGTGGACACGCGGAGAGCGGACTTCAGTGGACCAATAGATGTCGCACTCGGCGACTTTTCCTCGTGCTTGTTGCTGAGGCTCATCGCGTCGTGGCCGAGATTCTTCATGTCTGAAAAGCTGAGACAGAAAAGCAAAAGAAATTAGGTACAGTAACTGGGCTAGCATCATCCCTCATTACACTTTCTTCAAGATAAAACGGAACAACCGAATTTCCGTGATTTGTGGGAATCAAATAAGTAGCCCTCCAAAATGATGCAGTATAGAGGGGAAGGGGGCGGCTCACTTACAGCTACAAGTGACACCTAGCTTATCATAAAAACACCGATCTCGATGTCCAACAAAACCAAACAAGATGAAGATTGATCGTCAACAACGCTAAGCAGGACAAACCGAGAGGGAGAAAGAACGTCAGACTCAGAAGACGCGGATTTCATGCTATCGAAACTTGACAGTTATGATATCTACGTCTTATTTGCGTGAGACCTCGCGAAGTGTCAAATAAACTTAGTACTTAGTGCTGAATGACGTTGGTCGAACTTTTTGCCCCCCATAACAAAACCTATAATATACTAACGAAGTCGAAATGCAAAGAATTGCTGTGTAGGACGGGGAAGCATGGTATTCCGCAAAAATGGTTCAGATATCCGAAGAAGAAATCAGATCTTGTCTGCCAGAAATCGAAAGGCTAACCACTATAGTGACCGGCCGTCAGTCCGCTATTGCATCGGCACCGAAGGACAATTTAAATTAATTATTAGACACCGTCGAAGTACAGTACAGTGCTGATCAGTGGGAAAAAAGGTGATTCGAAACAAAATGAGCCATATTAATTATCAATCGATTCTCCTCAACTTCAGATATAGTTTGTGATTGGCACAAAATCTGGAAAATCTAATAAGTCTGCGTCGGATGATTCTCTCCGGAATGACATCAAGTTCAAAGCTCATGTAATACAGCGACCAGCACATCAAAAAAGTTGGGTATCATTTTATCAAGGAAATGAACTGTTCACAAAATAAGATCTCGCAAAGTACTGTATAACCGAATAATCAGTCGACCAACATACAGTACTTATTTCGGCTCACCTTGCAGATGAATTGGTTGCAGTTTAGAACCTTAGTTAGAGAATTAAGCGAAGGGACGTGAGCTGTCACTTACCTCAACTTCTTCTCAATCCTCGGTTTCCCATTAGGCTTGTTCTTGTCCGACGCCAGCATGTCTACGGAATACCAACTCGCATCTCCAGTCACACCGTCGGTCATCATGCTCACGCTCGGTAAACTTGGAGCATTGAGAAACTCGGCCAGTCTTCTGGTCGACACCACGCCCTTGATAGCGATGTTCACGGTAATGGGTAATATAAACAGAGGCACCAGCATCTGATTAAATAAAGCTAATCCGGTAAATATCTTGGCTGAGGTCAGCGGTTGTGACTCAATGTGAGCGTAGATCCCGAACGTGACCAGGGTTACTAAAATGGACGAGGCTTGCGGAATGACTCCTGCGAAAAATATACCCATGTTCAGTAAGTACTGTTCACAGAACCCATTAACACTTCCATTTTCCGTCTTTCATTACCGAGTTCATTTTTAAGGATGACACGCCGAAGGTTAACTGTTTTCTCCTTCGTAAAAGTGAAATGATAGTTTTACGATCCGATATAAAATGTACCATACGTGTTTTTTCTCTAGACTGAGCAATCTTGCCCTGTACAGCAGTGCGTATATGCAATTCAAAATAAGTCTTTGTCGTAAGGAAATTGAGCAAATGCACTTCATTTGAATATAGCGAAATGACTCAACTAAAAAAATTCGAAGTTACCAGTGAAATTACAGCTGGTACAGTGTACGAATCGTAACAAATCGTAGCCGATATGTTTTCCACGAGATGAAATTGGAGCTTTTTTTTTTGAAGTCCTTGGACTGAATTACGGATTATATTACGAAAATTCGACAAACTCACCGACAAGAGCCCATAAAATAGAATCACTCCACAACAAGCCCAGTTCAGTTTTGCGCTGGGACTCGATGCGATCCTTGAATACTCGCTCCCAATTCAGCATCTTCACGATTTTAATATTCTGCAACAACTCCGTCAAACTCTTCAAACGTTCGTCAGTTGCATCCAGAACCTTCTTTTGAACACTCGAAATTTTCTTGGCAAGCACCAATTGAATGGGTGTCAACAAAAGAATCGAAATGGCCGCACCCACGAGACTCGAGACTCCGAGTTGAGAATAAAGCAGACTCAAAATGATCGCAACCTGACATGAGGACCGAGAAGAATTGATTCATTCATTGCATGGATTTTCGTTTAGATTTGAAATTCCTCACTTTCAGTGGAATAGCCCAGATGTAATGCCCCATCCAAAAGAACATCATGACGTTGTTCACGTCTTCGGAGATGAGATTCACCACAGATCCGTGGGTTTCTTTGATCCCTTGGACCCATTTTTCATCCTCCATCGAATCGTCCGTGAGTTCGTCCACAGTCGAGGAAACTTCACTTTTCTCAGCAGAAGGAACACAATTCTCTTTTTTGTTCCAACTGCTCTTGGTAGTTTCCCAGATCGGGCGTCTCAGACACTTGGCATAAATTGAACTCTGCGTAAAATAAAATGGAATTCAAAGATAAACTGCTTTCCAGTGAAGGGCTAACTAACAAAATGTTATCGTCCCTAAAAATATATACATCAGCAAAAGGCGTCGAATGGTGAGAATTTAAATTTGGGACTCCATCAAGCTGAATTTCAGAATGATTAAACAATAACTTCGACATCGGAATTATATATTCAATTCATCTTATTATAGTAAATCATTTACTGTATTTTATCCGATATCTGCATTGTTGACTTTTAAAAATAAGATAAAAATTGATTTAATAATTTCTCGAGGATGAGAGAATCACAAATCCCGCTTTGAAAAATTTTTGCATTCGCACTATTTTCTCTAGGAAAAAGCTGAACAGAAGTTCTTCCTGCAGAATAAAATCCTTCTTGGACAAAGATTTCGAGTCATGTTTTCCAAAGCTTAAATTGCTAAGGAAGAGATTATAATGCAGGAATATCCTTCCACCTTTTAAGCTTCGTTCGTATAGCAATCCGAATTGATTCATCATATTCCGGAAGCAGACGAACTGTACAAGGACAAGTTCAAAATAATGTACTGTACATTGTATACAATACATAGAAAAATCGTTTTTGAAAACTGCATGGTTCGGAATTAGCATCGAACAATAGCGCACCGTTCGTTGACTTGTCAACATCCGAATGAGCTCTTCGAATTCCTGTTTTTCAATCGAACCGAAATTTCATTGTCCACTAGTACCACATAGATTTCCACATGCGTCACTCACCAATAATGCAAGTTTCAGACGGATTCCAGCGACATTGTTCATGTGAGTTGAAGCTTGTGACAGCAAAGATTGGAGCAATGAACCCATGAAAAGCACGCCGATCATGACGAAGCCGTTGCTGAAAAACTCGCGGATTGTCGTATGCCCCATGCTGCTCTAGGGAAAAGCGAAACTGTTTTCAAACAAAAAATAATCTATTCTTCGCGAGTTATATTTACGAAGAAATCGATTACGCAAAGTTCCGCCTTCCTAGGAAAAAGGGAAATCAATAGCTGCTCCTTATTATTTCAGTTGTAAATCTTCTAGGCTTATTTTTCGTCAAATAAATGAACCATCAAACGACATCGTCTTGTGCAATATCGGACAGATGTCGCCTGAGTCACATACGTGTATTACAAAGGACAAACAAATTCAACCTCGATTTACTCGGAAAATTAAAATGCACTCATTTTATTTGGTCAGATGAAAAATTCGATCCAGAAATATTAGAAAAGAACTGCGGGCAGTAAAACCTGAACTGGAAATAATGTTTCTTTTATGTGTAGGACAAATTTTTAGTCAACTTATTTTCTGGGGAAAAGTTGTTCGTTCATTTTTTCTCATCATTTCATTAAAAAAAAGTACGGTATTAGACGTAGCTCGCTTTCGAGAGTAATACTTGAATTTTGTTTTTGCATTCAGTAAGAATCTGAAATTAGGACGAAGTTGTTTCGTAACGTTACTATGATACGTATGTCGAGGTTTTAAAATATTTTGAAAAATGAGTACCATCTCAGAATCCTAGACGACGTGGCAAAATGGATGCTAATTTGTTCACCTCCAAAGAGTTTTTATTTCTCCTTGTTTCGGGTTAATTATTTCTATTTAGCTCTAAGTGTTAAGGACATTTCTTTTTTCCCTCGGTTCATGTATTTGAATTAGGCGAAAAAATTATTCTACATTTTTTTAAACACTAAACGATACTAATTCAGGGCTCGAAAATTTCATAACGAGACAAATAACCTTGAAAGTTGTAGTTGTTGATCAGCAGCACTAAAGCTTTGGTCAGTGACGTTCGTTGCAGCAGCAGGCGTCGTTGTCAATGTCGACATCGACATCGATGTCGGTGTGACATCGCCCGGGACCAAAGGCATTGGCACAGATTGGGCAGCAACGTAAGTGAGAATGACGTTGACGGACAATGGGGCCAGAAAGCCCACAAAGTCTGTAAGCAATCGCAGACACCCACCCAGAATCCAGTCTGGGCAGCAGAATTCAAAGTAGCATTTCCACAATTGCTTCGGATTCACCATTCCAGCAGCCTGAATCGAATTGAGAAACATGAAAAAAATTAGGCTTGAATGATGCTATTTTTTAAGGCACATAGCATGCACCTCTTCCAAGTCCTCATGGTCTTTCATTTTTGTTGGTCTTCTTGTCAGACACAAATGAAGGATCTTAATACTGTAAAAGTGGTATCTTGCAATTTGACCTCCTACAATTTGACCATAGCGCAATTCAATGGTCATTTTTACAAGGAGGTTGACTTGCAATTTGACTCTTGCCCCACAATTTGACCTCCATTTTCCATTATTTTTGTGCTTTTGTATTTCATATTTTTAAATTTCACAGAGTGTCTCCCAATTTAGCCAATTTGCAATTTGACCCTACCTGAGTGGGGAGCTATTTTTGCTGTGACCCCACAGTAGATGCACACCAGGGTCACAACTGGAGCATATGGGATATTCTGGGGGTACAAGTGTGCACTCCTGTAGAGGAAATTTTGCTACCATTCCAGGGTTACACTTGGTGCACAAATGTGAAATAGCAGGAGCATCACACAAATGCACCAACTGTAACCTTGGTGTAACTTATTTGTTTAAAAATGTGACCCTGAGTAATCCTGGTATGTGTGAACACACAATTGGTGCACATTGGGGATATGCATGTGCAACAGAAGAACTTTGGTACACTTCAAGTGCACAGCAGGGTCACTGTGTAGAATTACTAACAAATCCCCAGTTTGCACCAATTTCCCCACTCGGGTAGTTCAGCTACAGATTAGGGTCAAGGTACCACCTGTATACTTATATGCAAGACATCTCTTGACTTGCTGTAAATGCAGTCATATTTTTTTGAGTATTACAATGTGAACAACACTTTGGAGCATTCCCTCATTATTTCTTGTTTTGTTAAGCTTCACTGCAGCTTGGTGCACAACTCCACTCAACATTCCAGTATGCCTTTATGAATTCTTCCTGTCCCCTTTGTTTGATGCACAACAATTGTTGCGCATCAAAAAAACTTTAAAGTATGCCAACACCAACCTTGTCTGCTAGACAGCCAGAGTCTAAAAATATGGGTGTTTCTCATACTGAACCTAGTCTACTGTTACCAGACTTTGCCACAAAACCTAGTCAATGTTGCTCTGCTCTGCAACATATTATATATTGCTGTGTGTACAAAGAAATAAAGAACACTTGTTCAGAATATCTCATCAGAATGATCAGAGTATTTTTTGTACTCTTTGAAATTACGCAGAAAACAATTTAAATCTCTGAGACACAAGCCACTCCCTATAGTTGGTTGAGCAATTTATCCGGAATAAACTATAGTACTCAGATCAACTTCATTATAATCAGCACATATCAAGAACTAGGATTGGTCAAGTGAAAATTTTATCCTCCAATTGACGACTCTTGAATGATTCAATGATTCACCGTCCAATTAAAACCTGACCTCAGGCGATTTTTCTGGCTCAAAATGGACAAGGATTAATGAAACATGGAATAATGCATCCATTTTCCAAAATAAAACCAGCTGAAGTGAAAATCATAGCAACCGGAAATGTTTAAAAGAAATTATTGGCTGGAAAATAAAATGCAAATTTTTTTTCAAATTTTTCATCATCCTGCATGCTGAAAAAATTGTCTAAAATTTCAAATGAATTGCCAGTAGGCTTGCAAATGTTGTGAGGCAAAAACTAGAAATTTCTTTCAAGAAAGGATTGGCAGTGTTCCAATCCAGCATATGAACATTACAGTTGACAAATATTATGCTAGAAGAAATCAAGTTCATCTTCCAAGACCCTTTTTCAACAATCTTTGATGCAACAGAATTTTCTCTAGTCAAATTAGCCCATCAGTGATGAAACCAGCTTTGCCAATTTCCCACCAGTATAGTGATCATCATCATCTTTTGACTATATACTACAGTACAGTATTTGATTACAGTCAAACTTGAATTGCATTTGGAACGGTACTACAGTACAGTTCGGAATTCAATTCAGCAAAATGACTCAAACATTTTTAAAATAATTTTGCAGCAAATTAACTCAACACAATTTTTTCCATCATTTTTCAGAAAATTAACCCAACATAATTAATGTAACAATAATTTTGCAGCAAATTAATCCATCAACATTTTTGAATAATTTTCAGCAAATTGGCCCAACATAATCCTTTAAATCATTTTTCAGCAAATTGACCAGACGGAAATTTAAACCAGCCTTTTCAGGTTTTTATCAGTATACTGATCATCATCATCATCATCATCATCATCATCATCATCATCATCATGAGAATAATAATACACACCCTCTTCTTGAGCAGTTCAGTGAAGACAGCGTGTTGCACCCGGGTCTTCTCGCCCTCAGGCAACTTCCCCAAACTGTCCACTTCCAATGGCCGGGCGAAACCCTTACCCAGAAACGGGTTCAGCCAAAAGAAGAACAGTCTGGACGGCAGGTTCGAGAATGGGTGCAGGTATCTGACTTGGAACAGGTCCATCGCTGAATCCATCAGATTCCTTCTGGGAAGCAGTCGGGACCAGATGGATTTATGCTGCATATGCTGTGTTGTATATAGACCGGAAGAAAAGAGAAATATATATAAATAAATAACAGATTTCAAATTACAGATGCGCATTTCATAAACAGTATATGGGAATCTCGGGTTGCATGAATAAAAACAGGACTCGACAGCTTTTCCTCGACACCTGTCACAAGGTATCAGTACATATTCGAGGAGAGGAAAAAATAACTTTTGCATGTACTGTAACAAATATCGACCTCTAATACATATTGTCACTATACTGTATATACGAGGGGCAGTACTGAAGTTTCTGCACATCAAGAACAAGCGACATATTTTCCCCCTTATTTTCATCAACAAAGACTGCCTTAATTGTCTACAAACAAGCATATAATTATATTGAACATTTTCAAAGTGGGAATGGATACCCAAAAAAAATTTCTCAACAAGTATTTTCTTGTGTTTTGCATGAATGAAAATAGGATGACAGTTTTTCCTCCAGGAGACAGTACAAGTGGTACCTTTCAATTCAATCTCCCACAATTCAACCATCCCACACTTCAACAGTCAAATTTGCAGGGAGGTAGACTTGCAATTTTACCCTTGCCCTGCAATTTGACCTCCTTTGGCCTTTTTTGATGCATTTTTGTACTTATATTTTTGAGTTTACACTAAAAGTGAATGTTGCATTAATAGCTTTTGTAGTGTAGGGGAACCTCTTAAAGGTTCCCTCAAAGACCAGCAAAGGTTCATTATTCTGTTTAACCTTATTACCTTATTCTCCAATGAGATGCAGCAACTTACTCTGAACCAAAAGAAAGCATAATAAACCCATAACCTGTATTACTCCTTGTAAATATTTATTGGGGTTTGTTTATTATGTGTATATGTAATATATATTTTTTTATCCTAGGTTGCAAGGATTTCAGCTAGAGAAAATTTTGCAATCGCAGAAACGTCTTTCTGCAAAGACCAATTCATCTGAAGCTTTAAACTCTTGAGGACAATGTTCTGTTGAGAAGATTTAGTTCTTATGGCCAGGGCTGTTAGAAGTGAATACGACTTCTTGTTATAGAGTGTGAATCAAGTATATTCCATGTGCTCTCCACAAACACCAGACTAACAATGAATATCAGTAAATGTATAAAGCAACACCTTTATAGATTTGGGTTAAACCAGACTTGACTGCGCAACAACATAAAATAAGGACACCAAAAGGGAATGGAGGAATGACCATAAACCAGACAGTCATTCTATAGAATCTTGTCTGCTTTGAAGCAGTGAGTTCCTAGGGGGGACATTCCAGAATGTTGATCATTAAATAAGGCAGTATTGTTGACCTGTATCAGGAGTTTCAGGACACATTAAAATAACCTACAGTGACAATATATATATATATATGAGGCCCCCACATGTGGACGCCTTGGCCTGAGGACTATTTGACATAGGGACACTTATTTTCCCAGAAAAAATCAATAAATAAGGCCACACATGAGGACACTGACTCAACATAGGGACATTTTGTGATAAAATTGCAATAACAATTCTTTTCAGGGAATTCTGAAGAATATTTCTTCCACAAAACAGCAATAAAAATTATATAATGTAAGTCTATGGGAAAACAAGACTTGACTTAGGGCGTTTAAACTTGGGGACACTCTTGATGCACCAATTACGTCCGCATCTCGGGGTCTCACTGTATATGTATACTGTATTGGGCACATTCTGGCTCAACAAATTGTGGAATGCATCTTATTTGAGGCTGTGTGATACTTTAATGCATTGAGTCCCCAAAAACAAACACTCCTAATGAACAATTTTAGGGGAAAACATGACTGATCACATTAAAAAAAACTAATTTCAAAAGAAATCTGCCATATATGTTGTGCATTGAAAAAAAAAATAAAAAGAAAGAAAGAAAGAAAACCACTCACGGCGTCCTCGGCGCGTCGGAACTTGCGCACATACACCACGGCACACACGAGCCAGACATCCGCCAGCAGCACCGCCGCCACGCACAGCGCCCCCGCAAACTCCAACGCTATTCGGGCGTCCGTCCACGCGTAGCCCACGCTCAGCAACTCCGGCACCTTGTGCCACCGACACACGCCGTCGACGAAAAAGTAGACGGTGGCGACGAGGAGACACTTGGGCGCCGCTGCCCGCTCCGCCACCGACATGAGCACCATGAAGAGGAGGGCCGTGAGCGCCTCCAGCGTGGGCAGCGCCATCTGGCTGTTTTGCACGCACACGGCGGCGCGGCGGCGGTCGGCCGCCAGACACCCGATTTCGGCAAAGTGGACGACCAGGAGGGCGGCTGTGGCCGACCATCGCACGTCTTGACCCGGGATTCGCTCTGGACCTCGTCTGACATCACACAGGAAAAAAAGGTTTCGAAAGTACTGTACTGTATAAATATAAAGTAGAATCTCGTCATAACGAATTAATGCTGTCAACAACAAAAAACTGTTTTCGTTTTTTCTTGGCCCTGTGCAATAGCCACTACATTATTTTTATTTCGTTTAAATGGATCTTTTTTTGTTCCGAAAAAATTTTCGAGGTCCCAGATTATTTGTTGTAATCAGATTTTGCTGTACTGCTGTACATACAATACAATAAAATCACTGTGAGTTAAATTTGAAGGGAATCCAAAAAATGTCTGAATTGTTTGACATAGATGATTGAAGTTTAATTTTTTTTCTGAGGTGCTTATTGAATGAGTTCATCATTTTTAGATGCCCTATCTACAAGAAGTCTAAAAATCTCTTTGTTTAGTCCAGTTGTTTGATAACATAAAATACAGTGGACAATTTGACCAAGGAAGGTTTAAGCATAAAAGGTGTGACTTAGGGACGTTTAGAATGATTTGATCTTGAGAATATTGCCCAGGAATTCACTGAAAATATGATTTACAGAGCTTTTTAATCGACATATTTCATTTGGAGAAATTTGATTTAGAGTGGTTTCATGTAGAGTGGTTTGATGTAGAGTATTTTGATGTAGAGTGGTTTGATGTAGAGTGGTTTGATGTAGAGAGGTTTGATGTAGAGAGGTGTGACTTACAGAGGTGTGACTTACAGAGGTTTGACTTACAGAGGTTTGACTTACAGAGGCTTGAGTTACAGAGAGGCTTGACTTACAGAGGCTTGACTTACAGAGGCTTGACTTACAGAGGTTTGATTTACATAGGTTTGATTTACAGAGGCTTGACTTACAGAGGTTTGATTTACATAGGTTTGACTTACAGGGGTTTGACTTACAGGGGTTTGACTTACAGAGGTTTGACTTACAGAGGCTTGACTTACAGAGGCTTGGCTTACAGAGGCTTGACTTACGAGGTTTGACTTACAGAGGTTTGACTTACAGAGGTTTGACTTACAGAGGTTTGACTTACAGAGGTTTGACTTACAGAGGTTTGACTTACAGAGGTTTGACTTACAGAGGCTTGGCTTACAGAGGCTTGACTTACATAGGCTTGACTTACATAGGCTTGACTTACATAGGCTTGACTTACATAGGCTTGACTTACAGAGGCTTGACTTACAGAAGCTTGACTTACAGAGGCTTGACTTACAGAGGTTTGATTTACATAGGTTTGATTTACAGAGGTTTGACTTAAAGGGGTTTGATTTACAGAGGTTTGACTTAAAGGGGTTTGACTTAGAGGGGTTTGACTTAGAGGGGTTTGACTTAGAGAGGTTTATACCTACAAAGGTTAAACTGAATTTAGTTTTCATCAGTCCTTGTAACAAACTGCAAGTAAATTATCTACTGTTGATGACTTACATTTTAAAAACTTTGAAACCTCATCCACTTTACTGAATCTCTGAATCCAACATCGTAAGTAAATAAAATGTTGTTGGTTTTGCCATATTTTTTTAAGTTCATTATTTCCCATTGACAGATAAACAATTAATGTCTTGATGGACAATAAATTTATAAATACGTCGCAATTTTTTTTTTAATGCTGCATCGCATTTCTCAGTGTTTGTAAAGAAACGACTGAAAATAGATCAACTGATGTAGCATTAATTGTGAAGTTCATTCTCAACTTTGAACAGAGCCACATAGGAATATGCAATTCCCCTTCACAATGGTTTGATATTTTAAAATCCCTTTTTCATAAGCGGGGTTCAATTTTTACAACCGTAAATTTATACTCGAAAATGCTGCAAGTTAAGTTCAAAAAATCATGCCCGTAGTAGCTTTGGAAATGAAATAAAAAAAATTCTTCCCCATTTCATTTCTTGTTTGGACTTGAAACCTGATATTACACTGCATAGTTATAAATAGCAAATGATTTGTGTGGGTGAAGCCTCACGTTTTCATCAGTGCCAGTGGGTCAAATTTCATAGTGGGTCAAATTCGCTCTTTGTTCAACTGGGTGATTCACGCTTCACTAATAATAGACAAACAAACCTTAAAAAAAGAAATATTGTGCATCTGAGGGTTCTTACGAACATAAAGTAAATTGGTAAATTTAAGTTGAGTCAAATATGAAACTCCAGAAAAAAAATTCTGACATCATCTTAAGAAAAACAATCATTTTTGAAAACTATGGAGGGATGAAAAGACTTCTATTCTTCGGAATATTTCGAAATTTATTTCTGAATCCCATTTGACGTCCATAAAAATGGAAAGGATTTTTTTAAATACTTTCGCCATAATTTCCATTCTTCTGAACTTTTCTTTTTAAAAATAATCAAAATGCTTTGCCTTTACTAACGAGAATATTTTCACGGGACACATTTTTTTTCTGATTAAATGACACACACTGAATTTTCATTTTAAAATTAGAAATCCGGCATTTCACAAAGGAATCTTGCATTTATTATTGAATACACCAGCGAACCCGCACTTTTTCGAAACAATTTTAGTTTTAAAAAATGCGTCTGATCCTCAAAGAATAAATAAGCATCACAAATGTTCTCACTATAAAGGGAATTGATTTCGAAATAATTTTCTAATATTCTCTAGTACTTTTATTTTATTTTTTTTAATACAGTCGGTTTTGAAACAAACCTTCTGTAATTGAGAAGTTTCTTTGAGAAAGTGCCGAAACTAACCTGATCCGCGCGCGGCGCCAAACATGACCGCCACTGTGGCGCGACATGACGACAGCGGCGGCCACGACGCCCGCAATCCAAGCCCCGATGCAAGTGACCGACGTGATGATGTCCGCCACGCAAGTAGTGTCGGTCATGGACAGTCCGATCGGGTCGCAGAAGCTCGTGTTGCTGGAGGCGCCTCCGGCGCCGCCATCCGGCGCCACGTGCTGGTGCTGGTGGCGCAGCAACGTGAGTGTGGCGCGTCGCGACCGACGCTGGGTGTCCAACCACACCACGCAAGGGTTCATCTCGCTCAAAATATCTTGTTTTGCACTGATTTGAAAAATTGAAGTAACAATAATTAAAGAATTAAAAGCTTCAGTGAAACCTTATTTACTACAGTTGAACCTCTGGAAGTCAAACTTCAAGGGACCAGCAAAAAAAGTCGACTTAGCCTGGTTTTGAATTTATCTACATTAAAAAAACTCTTTTGTGTTGGGAAACATATAAAAATTGCTCAAAATTATGAATTGTAATCTTCTGAGGCTGAAATTACTTCTAAAATAAGTTGAAAGCCTCCTGAACTTGGAGGCAGGGTTCATTTGCCCAATTAAGTCCCTCACCTCATTTTAAAACAAATCAATTTATGTTTTATTGCATTTTTTTCTTCCCTGTGTCAAGAGAATAAAAGACAACATGCCACAGAAAATTCAACTTATGGAGGTTTGAGGGAAAAAGCCTTTGACTTGGGGAGGTTTTAAATGCATTAGTTCTGAGGGGATTCAGAAAGGATCTGAAAAAAAAATTGACTTAGGGTCTAGTTATCAAGGTTCACCTCTACAAGGGTTCTAACAAAAGTTCTTGGAGTAGCAATGAAAATGGCCTACAGTTGACATGAAGCAAATGTTTTCTTTAGGGAAAACATATTATTTGGCACACAAAAAATATAAGCCCTGTTTGACAAATTTTTTTTCATTTTTTTCATAATTCACCCTAGCAGAGTTTTGCTCTCCACTCAAAAGATGAGGCAAAACTCTGCCAGGGTGAATTATGAAAAAAAATTCAAAAAATTTGTCAAACAGGGCTGATATTTTTTTATGTGCAAAATAATATGTTTTCCCTAAAGAAAAAAATTTGGTTCTGCTCAACTGTAAGCCATTTTCATTGCTACTCCAAGAACTTTTGTTAGAACCCTTGCATATACGGGTAGTACCTTGCAATTTAACCTCCTGCAGTTTGACAGTCAAATTTTTTGGGACACTGACTTGCAATTCAACTCTAGCCCCAAAATGCAACCTCCTTTGGCCACTTTTCTGAATTTTTAAACTTACTGAAGCCCTGCGCCTAACAGACATCCCGCCTAAGGGATTTTTGTCCAACAGACCAGCTCTGCAGGCAGTTTTTCCTCCCACCCAACAGACAAAATCTGCCAAACAGACTTATTTTGGTTTAAAATTAGTATTGACAATTGAAATTCCAAATTTTTATATCATTGAATTTTTCTAAAGGACTTTTTGTCAAACAGACTTGTCTGTTGCACAAATTAGGTCTGTTAGACAGGGGTTGACTGTACATTTTCAAATTTCATGGGAGTCTCTTGCAATTCAACTGACTTACAATTTGACCCTAGTACAGCAACAGATTGGGGTCAAATTAAAAGTTACCACATGTATTTGAGTCAAGTTTCAATAGGGACCAGCAAAAAATAACAAGAATTATTTTTGGAGGAAACAAGAAGAATGTTAGGAAAATTTTACTTGGTGATATTCTGGACATTTAAAATTGCTTCTTTAATAAGTTGAAAGGATGCTGAACATGGAGGCCAGGGTTCATTTGCGCAATTAATCTTTCATTTCCTTTTAAAATACAGTACATCAAGTTGAANAAAAATGCGTCTGATCCTCAAAGAATAAATAAGCATCACAAATGTTCTCACTATAAAGGGAATTGATTTCGAAATAATTTTCTAATATTCTCTAGTACTTTTATTTTATTTTTTTTAATACAGTCGGTTTTGAAACAAACCTTCTGTAATTGAGAAGTTTCTTTGAGAAAGTGCCGAAACTAACCTGATCCGCGCGCGGCGCCAAACATGACCGCCACTGTGGCGCGACATGACGACAGCGGCGGCCACGACGCCCGCAATCCAAGCCCCGATGCAAGTGACCGACGTGATGATGTCCGCCACGCAAGTAGTGTCGGTCATGGACAGTCCGATCGGGTCGCAGAAGCTCGTGTTGCTGGAGGCGCCTCCGGCGCCGCCATCCGGCGCCACGTGCTGGTGCTGGTGGCGCAGCAACGTGAGTGTGGCGCGTCGCGACCGACGCTGGGTGTCCAACCACACCACGCAAGGGTTCATCTCGCTCAAAATATCTTGTTTTGCACTGATTTGAAAAATTGAAGTAACAATAATTAAAGAATTAAAAGCTTCAGTGAAACCTTATTTACTACAGTTGAACCTCTGGAAGTCAAACTTCAAGGGACCAGCAAAAAAATTCGACTTAGGGAAGTTTTGAATTTATCTACAATAAAAAGCCCTTTTGTGTTGGGAAATATATAAAAATTGCTCAAAATTATAAATTGTAATCTTCTGAGGCTGAAATTACTTCTAAAATGAGTTGAAAGCCTCCTGAACTTGGAGGCAGGGTTCATTTGCCCAATTAAGCCTCTCACCTCATTTTAAAACAAATCAATTTATGTTTTATTGCATTTTTTCTTTCCTGTGTCAAAAAAATAAAAGCCAACAGGCCACAGAAAATTTGACTTATGGAGGTTTGAGGGAAAAAGCCTTTGACTTGGGGAGGTTTTAAATGCATTAGTTTCAAGGCAAATCAGAGAAAACCTAAAAAAAATTTGACTTAGGGGGGTTTTCAACTTAGGGCGCTTCTAGTTATCAAGGTTCACTTGTATATACAAGTGGTACCTTGCAATTTGACCTCCTGCAATTTGACAGTCAAATTTTTTGGGACACTGACTTGCAATTCAACCCTAGCCCCAAAATGCAACCTCCTTTGGCCACTTTGTTGAATTTTTAAACTTACAGAATCCCCCACTTGACAGACATCGTGCCTAAGGGATTTTTGTCTAACAGACCAGCTCTGCAGGCAGTTTTTCCTCCAGCCCAAGGGACAAAATCTGCCAGACAGACTTATTTTGGTTTAAAATTAGTATTGACAATTGCATTTCTAAATTTTTTATATAGAGTAATTGAATTTGTCACTATAAAGGACTTTAGTTGAACAGACTTGTCTGTTGCACAAATTAAGTCTGTTAGACAGGGGTTGACTGTACATTCTCAAATTTCATGGGAGTTTCATGCAATTTAACTGATTTTCAATTTGACCTTAGTCCAGCAACAGAGTAGGGTCAAATTAAAAGTTGCCATACGTGTTTGAGTCAAGTTTCAATAGGGACCAGCAAAAAATAACAAGAATTCTTGTTGGAGGAAACCAAGAAGAATTTTAGGACACTTGTGATTGGTGATATTCTGGACATTTAAAATTGCTTCTTTAATAAGTTGAAAGGATGCTGAACATGGAGGCCAGGGTTCATTTGCGCAATTAATCTTTCATTTCCTTTTAAAATACAGTACATCAAGTTGAATTTTCATTGGTTTTATTTTTCCTGGGTCAAGAAAATAATAGCAAGAAGGCTTTCAGAAAATTTGAGTTATGGATGTGGAAGGGGGAAAAACCTCTGTTTGAGTTAGGGAGTTTTTCAAGAAAAGGATTAAAAAAATTAACATAGGGAAGTTTTTTCACTCAGGAAAGTTTCAGTTATGGAGATGGAGGTTTAAAAAGATTTTTCCAACATTCAATCAGGAAGGTAGGAAATTGTGCCTTGGGTGGACAGCTTTTCATGTAAAATGGGGATAATTTTCTCTGAAAAATTTTAACTAAGCCCCAGACCAAAAATGGTGTGAATTAAAATATGCGATTTTTTAAACGGTGGAGAACATTTTCTACAACTTTTTTTTCTACATTATACTTACCTTAGTTCTGAACCATGTTTTCCATCGTTTCAAATGGAAATTAATTTTATTCAAGAATAAGAAGAAGATTACACAAAATGTTTCTTCAGTCCTTCACAGTAAAAGTCGAGCTTTCAAAACAACTGGTAATTCACCAATGCATTCAATTTTCCGCGGAAAAAGTTAAATCATGATGACCAGTTGAAAGGATTCTTTAAACACGTTTTCAGATTCCGGATCAAGTTCCCAGAAACCGGTTTTTTCTGAACTGGCCAAGTCCAGAAAAGGAAGTGGAGAATTTCCAAGATTGTCTTTATTTTTTAACTAGTAGATACTATATGTCATCTTTAATTATTGTGGAATACTGTACTGTATTTTTTAGGAGTGATGGATTGTGGCCCTGAGTCTCCATGGGTTTCTGGAGATTCCAGGAACCTCCACCAAAACACCCAGTCATCCCCTGCCTTTTTAATACAGTTGAACATCCCCAAGTTAAATTTTTTTTTCATGTCCTGGTCTGAATTCCCTTCAATGCAATGCATTAAAAAAACTCCTTAACTTGAAGGCTTTTCATCTAAAACCTCTGTAAGTTGAATTTTCTTCTGACTTTTAGCAGTCGAATCTTCTAAGTCAAATTTCAAGGGACCAGCAAAAAAAATGTGCTTACAAATTTTTGTAGGCAAAAATTTTAGAGTTGACCTACAATAAAAAGCGCTTTGGTTCCAGGAAATATAGAAAAATTGCACAAAATTATAAATAGTGATATTCTGGGGCTTAAATTACTTTTTAAATGAGTTGAAAGGATGCTGAACTTGGAGGCAGGGGTTCATTTGCCCAATTATAAGTCTTTCACTTATTTTTAAAACACGTGAATTTCTGTTTTTATTGCATTTTTCTTTCTCGCTTCAAGAAAATAATAGCCAACCAGCCAAAGAAAATTCAAACTTAGGGTGGTTTGAGGGGAAAAGCCTTTGACTTGGGGAGACTTTTGATGCATTCTTTCTAAGGGAATTCAGATGAGGACCTGAAAAAAGTTTGACTTACGGGGGTTTTCAACTTTGGGAGGTTTGAGTTATTGAGGTTAAAATGTATTATGTTCTTGATGCAGGAAGAAAAAAGGCAATCAAAATGGAATTTGATGTGTTTTAAAAGGATGTGACAGACTAAATTGGGCCACTGAACCCCTGCCTCAAAGTTCAACATCCTTTCAACTCATTTTGGAAACAATTTAAGGCCCAGAATATCAGCATTTACAATTTAGTGCAATTCTTCCATGTTTCTCACAACAAAAATGCGTGGCTCCATAACAGAAACATATACAACTCAAAAACCTTCCTAAGTCAAATTTGTTTGCTGGTCCCTTGAAATTTATTTTGGAGAGGTTCAACTGTACTGTTTTTTCATATCATTTTCCTGGTTAATTTCCCACGTTTTCTGTAACATTTTTTTGAAATTGTAAAATTTTCTGGAATATTTGCTTTCTACCTTCAGAGGAACCAATGCTGGAATGCCTGAACATTTTTATCAATTATGCAAAGACAAATTTGTTATTCTGTTGGGAGAAATATATTTGTTTGATAAAATACTGTACATTGTTCTCTGTCAAAATTTAAATGACTAACGTTTGATTTCCGGAATAATTCAAAAAATTTTATCCTGAGCAATCGAAAATATTTTTATTACTGTCTCAAAGAAAACTTTGTCTTTTCTTGTGAATTCTTCTCTAGGACTAAAACTAACAGGCATTTGAGTGGATTGTGATCATATGTTTTATTGTGAAGATATTGAAGAAACAAAAGCTAATCTTGAAGAAATTATTCCAGTCCAAAAATATCGTCGAAAATATTTCAATTGCGGAGGAGATAATTTTGAAGTAATTCAAATATCATTAATAGTATCTAAAAAAAAAGGTTAACAGAAAGAAGCTGAAAATATTCAGAGCAAATCTCAACACTTGAGCAGCAATTCTTTGCTCTGCTGAAAACATTTTCAAGTTCAACGAAATTTCGGCAGATATGTACTTGATACTGCGCCTCAAGTTTCCTGGAATTGTATCTTGCATTTATTTCATCATACGAACTTCAAACTTCAAGATGAATCATAGAATGAATGACACCACATTTTACGAAATACTGTATGAAGTAAAAATGGGAGCCTGGAAATGCGTCATGTTTTTCCGAGTATGCATCGGTTTTTTTCTTTTCTAGAGCATGACACAAAAAGGCGGAAATTCCGTTGACGAAATGAAATTTCATCAAAGAACGATTCAAAAAGTACAGTCTATTCAACCTAGTCAAGGAGCAGTATTTTGAAGGAGACGCTCAAGAAACTCTGAAATTAGAAGCACATCTTCAAATGATTTTTGCTAGGGCTTTTTCCTCAAATATTTTTCCCAAAATTTTTTTGAAATGCTTTACGGTTAGTTACGACACTTGACAAATGGAAAACAATTCAAGTGAAAAGCTCAAAGTCCAAGAATAAAAATAAAACACAGAATACTGTAAGCATTAAGATTTTTTTTTGTCCAGGGTACAACCGAAAAAAAATGGTACTGGTAATAAAAAGTGGGCCTTAAAAATTTTTTTTTGCTACATCCTGTGTCCGCAAATATTGGTCATATTTCTTTAGAATCGGTTCTAAATTTCCTTCATGCACTTGTGGAACAAATAAAAAATGCAAAATTTAAAATACGATGGTCTCAGGTTAATTTTAAAGAATTAAATATAAAGTATTCTTATACATTGAGGTTTTTTTTAGAGAACATCCAAAAAACTTTGGAATTGAAAGTGGGTCTGGAAAATAAGTGTTATTGAGACTTGTCTCATTGCATTTTCTAGAAAATTCAGTTCCAGAAATTATACAGGCACTGGACAAAAACAAAAGCAGTCAATTCTAAATACAAGACAGCCAATCAAATATTGATTACTCCCTCCATATGTAAATTTCTTTCAAATTCCAGGCTGAATTCCCTTAGAAACCATTAATTTAAAACATTTCCAACTCACAGGCTTTCCCTTAAACTGCCAAAATTAGGATTTCTTGATGGCCATTTTGATATTATTTTATTGACACCTGAAAGATAAATGCAAAAAATATGTAACTTGATGTGTTTTGAAAGGAAATAGAAAACTACTTTTGCAAATATGAACCCTTGCTTCCAAGTTCAGAATTTCTGACATTTAATTGACATTTTGGTGGCAGGTCCTTTTTGCATTGCACAGCAGTGCCAGGATATTTTTGCAGGCTTCTGCATTTTGGTTCGACCAAAGGTGAATGGAACAGAGCTTTTGATGAGTAGCCAAAGTTGGGAAGAATCCCTCAAAAAGAAAGCCATTGTCTTCATAAGCCCTCAATGCTAATCATATGGTAGGAATGCAGAAAAATTGCAA